CAGCTCAATAGAGCACTGGCCCTGAAGTCAGGGGGACCTGAGTTCAAATCCAGCCTCAGACCAAACACTTGACACTTACTAGCTGTGTGACCTTGGGCAAGTTGCCCTCACAAAAAACAAAACAAAACAAAAAAATGCTCAGCTCAAGCCCCATCTTCTGCAGGGGCCCCCTCCCTAGCTGCTAGGGCCTTTGTCCTCCTTCCCCTGTTATTTTGTATTTGCTTGTATGTGTTTTCCATATTCTTACAAAATGCACTTTGCCTCCTCCTGGGTAATATAAGCCTCTTGAGGGCAGGGACTGTTTCATTTTCTTTTCTTTGGCTTTATATCCCCAGGATCTGGTGCAATGGCTGGCGTACAGTAAGCACTTAATAAATGCTTGTTGATTGATTTGTAAAATATGAGGTATAGGTTGTTAAGTCATGGTCTGACTCTTGGTGACCCCACTTGGGGTTTTCTTGGCAGAGATCCTGGAGGGGTTGGCCATTTCCTTCTCCAGCTCGTTTGACAGATGAGGAAACTGAGGGCAACAGGGTTAAGTGACTTGCCCAGGGTCACACAGCCAATAAGTATCTGAGGCTGGATTTGAACTCAGGAAGATAAGTCTTCCCCACTCTAAGCCCAGTGCTCTATGCATCATGGCATGGCGCCCCCTCACGCCCGTGGGGGAATGGGACCAGCTATTAATTAGTATCCCCTCCATTGTGTGGATAAGAAAGCCTAGCTCTAGAGAGGGTAGGAAGACTTTCAGGGTAATGAAACTGAGTCAGTGGAGGAGGCAGGCCCCAGATCTAGGTCTTCTGATAACGTGTCTACACTTGTGCTCTAGAAACTATCTGCCCGTTCTCTCCACCCTGTCCTTGTTAGGTCATAGTTCCAACAGTGGCAGGGATCTCTGTGACTAATTCACATAAAGCTGCCTGAGATAGACTATTCCCTCTTCAGCTTCAACCACAGATGGGAGACCCTGGGGAGGGGGAGTGGACAGCCCTGGGGCAGTGCAGAGTGGTAGTGTTCCTGCAAAGCCCAAATCTCTGTCTTTGCAGTCAGCCTTCACCTGATGTTTCCAGCCCTGCCCACTGGGACCAAGCCATCCAAACTTCACCTCTCCTTCTTCTTTTTGTTTTTTTTTAACTTTCCCCCCCCTTTTTTGTGAGGCAATCAGGGTTAAGTGACTTGCCCAGGGTCACACAGCTAGCAAGTGTCAAGTGTCTGAAGCCGAATTTGAACTCAGGTCCTCCTGACTCCAAGGCTGGAGCTCTATCCACTGTGCCACCTAGCTGCCCCTCACCTATTCTTCTTATGGCCACCCTTCCAATGCTAGAAGACATCTCTTGTTACTCCAAATCTTCTCTTCTCCAGAATAAACAACCCCAATCATTTCAAGTGATCCTTATTGGTAACTGAGCCTTTGTCCTTTCACTCTTGGGGACCTCATCAGCTCCCATGATTTCAGCTCTCCCCTTCATGCAGATGGTCCCTGGATCTATATGTGTAGCCCTGACCCTCTCTCCTGATCTTCAGGCCTGCGTCTGCAACTGCCCGCTGGACACCTCCAACTGGATGCCCACAGGCTTTTCAAACCCAACCCATCTAAAGCATAAACCCTCCCCTCCTCTTAACTTCTCAATGCCGGTTGAGGGAGCCACCATCTTTGCAGTGCCCAAACCTGGCAGTCATCCCGGGCTCTTCCCTGCTCTTCCCTTCACATCTAATCAGCTGCCAAGTCTTGTTGATTCTACTGCGACAACACGCACCTCTGCTGTCCGTGCCCTTCCCTCCCCTCACATGACTGCAGCCTTAATTCTAGCTTTCATCTGCTTTTGTGTGGTCTACTATAATGGTCTATTCTGTCCTTTCAAGTCCATCCTCTTCTCAGTCACCAAAAGGATATTTCTAAAGCACAAATTTGACCACGCCACTCCCTTAATCAAAAACCTCCAATGGCTCCCTGTTGCCTTCTGGATAAAACGCGTCTTCTGCTTGGCCCTTTGCCACGGGGCTCCCACCTCCCTTTCCACATTGATCTCTCACGACTTTCCCTCATAAGCTCTAGGGAAAGCCCTGATGATTAACTCGTCCCCCAGCCCTCCCTCTGGCCCAGACAGGTCCCAGCCTGTGCCCTCTCTGGCTCATACTCCTAGCTCCGGAGCTGAAAAGGGCCTCAGAAGCCAAGGCCAATCTCTTCTTTTTACAGAACAGGAAACTGAGGTAGGCAGCAAGTAACAGAGTCTGGATGTGGGTCTTCTGACTCTGACACCCTAGAGCATGCTTCTCAGAGCTGGAAGGACCACCTACTCCAACCCTCTCATTTTTACAGACAGGTCACCGAGGCCCAGAGGGCAGAAGGTTTTTGCCTCGTGTCACACTCATCTAACTCGAACCCAGGTCCTGATTCCCAGTCAAGTGGCCTTTTCAGTGGGTTCTGCTCTTGTCGGCCCTCCTCATGGCTCCTGACTCCTTCCCCAGGGAGGGCGTCTGTGCCTCACTCACAAGAGGCCTTTGGACAGGGAGTCCTGGCCCGGCAGAACCATATTCATCTGCTTACCCAAGGCCAACTGAAAAAGGATTCTACTTTTGACTCCTGAGCAGCATACCTGGGCCTAATCCTTATCTCATCCGCCAAGAGCCTTTCTTGGCTCTCAATGTAACATCCCCTTTCCCTCTGCCTGCGGGAATTTTGGCCACCTCCTCCAGAAAGCCCCCAGACTCCCCGGCCTAATCTGGTCCTCCTCTGAACTGAGACTAAGTCCATTTCTACCGTGCTTTGGGTACTTCTCAAGGATTGCCCGGTGGGACATTTGCTCTGGACTGTGAGTTAAATCTTAGCGTGGAACAGAGGAGGCCCTGGTAATGGCTGATGAACAATCACAGATTGGCTTCTCTTTAGAATTCCCCTTTCTAAACATCTTGCACAAGGGACCGGACACAAATTCCTGAGGGGCAGAGCTTCCTTTGGTCCGAGCCAGGGGCCTCCTCTCCCCAGGCCTGGCCCTCAGATCTCTGGGCTTCCCCCCTTCTCCCTCTCCGCAATGAAAAGCTCCCTGCCCCCACCAGGCAGTGCCCCAGGCTCCCTGTCTCCTGGGTGAGGCCAGGCAAGGCCGGGGCTTAGCTGATTCTTAGGGGGCCCATAGCTTTTGACCTGAGCCCTTGGCCCCTGGGAACCAGATGCTCTTCTGGCCCATTTGACATCTTCATTGTTTCAGCTTGACCTGGTGCCTCAGAGAGCAGAGTGGAGGGTGAGGGTGAGGAGAGATACTGGCCTCCCCTCACTTTCTGGAGGGGGGGGGAAGGGAAGAGGAAGCTGATGGGGGAGGCTCCAGCTGAGGCCTCAGCCTTCAGCGCCCAGGGATGAGGAGGGGAAGGCCCTGAGACTTTCTGGCTCTCTTCCCTGCCCTCCCACCCTCTCACCACCAAGGAGATGAGGTCTCCGTTCCCCATCCTCCATCCCACCCTCTTCCTAGCTGAGACTGACTTGTCTTCTGATAAGAGATAATAAGGATGAGGCTGTGCCTGTGGGGGGAGGAGGAGGAAGAGAAGGAAGACATCAGAGCTAGAAAATGGCAGGAGCTGAGGCATTGTTATTAATTATTAATTATTCTCAGTGTTTATAGAATCATAGCTCTAAAGTGAAAAGGGACTTCAGAGTGCATCCTAGGCCAGCTTCCTCCTTTTACAGAGGAGGAAACTGAGTCACAGAGAGGAGAAAGGACATGTCCAAGGTCACAAAGGGAGTATGGCCAAGATTCAAACCCAGATCAGAGGATCAGAAAATCAGAGTTAGAAGGGATTGCAGAAATCAAGAAGTCCAGCCTCCTTATTTGCATTGGAGGAAACAGGCCAAGAGATGAGGAGGCATCAGAACCCAGGTCCTTGGGTTCTGGATTCCACTGCCATCCGTGCCTCACAATTAGGGTTTAGGAGGTGCTTCCACACAGCCCCCTGCAAAGCATCCCTACTTTACAGATGAGGAAACTAAGGCCTGCCCTGCTGAGTCACACAGAAAGCAAAGGCCAGAATCAAAAGCAGGACTCAGGCTTCCTGGCCCTGGGTCCAGGGCTTATCCCAAAGCCTCCAGCTGAGGCCCCTGGTGATGGAGACAAAGGACCTGCCTGTCCCCCCAAGGCCCCCTTCAGTGCCTCAGACCAGCCTGCCTCCCCTCCCCCAAGGAGGCTTGGTCCTCTCATCAACTTCAGAGATTGGGCCCCCACCCCCCACCTGCAGCTGTCAGGGTGCCTGGGCTGGGGGAGGGAAGGCAGGGCAGAGAACAGCTGCCAGCTACAAATAGCTGCTGTCCCTGGTAGCCTCTCCAAAAACCCTACATTCATCTTCCTCCTAAGAAAGGGTCGGTGGTGGTTTTTTCTCCTCCTTTTCCAGAAAGGAAAATGGAGGCTCTGGATGAGTCAGCAATATCAGAATCAGAATTGTGACCCAGAGGAAAGGGTCCTGAGCCTCGGGATAAGTCACTTCCCCTGTCTGGGCCTCAGTTTCCCTCTCTGTAAAATGAGAGGGTTGGGCTCGGTGGTTTCTGGATTCATGTGTGTGTGAATAGGTGTATGGTTTTATCTGGTTATTTTCCTCATCTGTAAAAGGAGTAGTTTGAATTGCACACACGTGTATATACACACACATACATCATAGCACCCTTGGTCCAGCTGAAACACGTCACAGGCCATTTAGTCCAACTCCCCCATTTTACAAAGGGAGAAACTGAGGCTCAGAGAGGTGGTTGACTTGTCCAGGGACATGGGGACAGTGTTGGAGGCCTGATTTGAACTCCGCCCTTTTGGACCCCCAGCCCAGCATTCAGTCCCTTAGTGAGCTATCTCTCGGGCTCACTCGATGTGTGGCTGAGGACAAGTTGCTCACTGCCCCCTGAGCCTGGGGAGCTTCTTCTGTCACAAGCACCAGCCCGGACTGGAGCCCAGGGGCCGGGCCAAAAGCGAGACTCCTCCCTCACTCTGGGCTGCCTCCTGCACTGGCCCTAACCCAATAACTAGATGACTCGGCCCGAGACAAAGCCAGGGGGAGGCTGGATCAGCAGGTACTTTGGCTCAATCCTAGAGTGCTAGGCTCCTAGGTCAGAGGGTGGGGTGAGGAGAGACCAGGACAAGTGTGGCCCCGGGCAGCTGGCACTGCGGTCTGGCCCTTGTCGCTCTGAGATTTACCAGGACCTGGGATGCTGCTTCTGAGACAGGGCTGGGGGGGTTGGGGACATGTCCAGGACTTAGTCCCACATTGGTCAGGACCCTGAACCCTGGTTGTCTTTGGCCCTGCACCTCATTACTAGCCAATTTTCTCGATGGCCCAGTGCCAACTGATGTGTGACAGGTGGGGCAGTACAAGCCTCTTCCCTGGCACCAGAGCCTTGCCCATCACCTTACACATAAGGGCCTCCTCTTTCCTCCCCTAGGGAACTGGTGCTCCCAGTGCTTCCAGTGCTTCCAGTGCTCCCAGCTCCACTGCTCTAGGGGAAAGGGAAACTTGGGAACCTCCTTGTTTTACTAAGGAGGAGGCAGTTGAGGATCAGGGGAGCAGGGGTGACAGTCCAGCCTCCCTCTCCCGACTTCCGAGTCACGCTTTCAGGTAGCAGGCAGAAACTCCCAGGGCGGGTGCGGCATGGGGCCAGGTGGCTCTAAAGGTTTTGGGCCAATCAGAAGCGTCCCCGGGGCCCAGCCTGGCTGATGGATTCAGTTACAGAGCAGAGATCACCCCATATGCTCCATCCTCCTCCTGGAAGTCTGGTGCTGGCGTCTGCCTGCCTGCCCCTCCATTCATTGGTCTGGAAGCCGCTTCTCCCGCAACCCCAGCTTCACTTCCGCAGCTGGGCAGCCTCGTGGGACCCTCCGCGAGTGGGCTGAAGGGGGCAAGTGTCTGAGGCTCCGTCTGCCCAGGCTGGGGGTGAGGGGAGCTGATATGGGACACCCAGGTTGGCTCCTGTGGGCGCTGGTCCCCCTGGGGGCAGCGCTGGCGAAGGTGGGGCCGGTGCCGAATTTCAGCTGGAACAGCACCTTCTGTCACTTGGCAGTGCCCAGGACCGTGCCCGCCTCTCCCCTCCGGTCTCTCAGCTTCCTGAACCGGGGCCCAGATGGGTTGGCTCTCTTCCATGCCAGTTGGGATGAGCAGGGGCACCTGCTGGAATGCGCCTGGTGGGACAGAACTCCCATTATCCTGCCTTACCAGGCTGCGTGCGCTCGGGAGAGGGGCAGCAAGACCCGGTCTGGCATTTTGGCCCACACCCCAAGCCCTGCGCTGCAGCGCGCTGTGGAAGCCCTGCAGGAGCGGCGGGACGCCTGTGGCAGGACGGAGGAGGAACCACCGAGCGCCGGGAGGGAGGGGATCAAAGCGTCAGCCGAAGGGGAGGAGGAGCTCCAGGCAGCCGCTGGGCACCGGCGCGTGAGGAGGGGCTGGACCGTTCCCGGAACTCTCTGGTGCGGAGTGGGGGACTCTGCGGGGAACTCCACAGAACTGGGTAAGTCAGCATGCGCCCATCACCAGGCTGTCCAAGAAGAGGGGCAGGCTGCCCATCTGAAAGGCCTGCCTTAAAGGGAATTCTTATTTGGGCTGGGCTGAGGCCGCGCGGAAGCGGGAAGGTAGATTGATTGAAAGTCGGACGACCTGGGTTCAAATCCTGCCAGCCACTTCTGACCTGTAGATGGCGATAGCGGGCAGATCACTCTCCCCATCTGAGCCTCGGTTTCCTCCTCGGTAAAATGAGAGGCTTGGCTTCGGTGGCCTCTGGGGTCCTGTCCAGCTTCCCTTACGTGAGAGGATGATGGAAAAGGAAGCTCTCGTGCTCTGCCGCGGGGAGAGGCGATCCAAGGACTCAGCATGGGAGGAGGCGGAGAGGGGCAGCCCTGGCTCCTCTGGCCCCCAGGGCAGTGCGGGGAGATGAGGGGCCTCCCTCCGCCCGACGAGCCTGTTCTCACCCCGCAGGGATCTTCCAGGGGCCAGACCTCTGCTGCCGGGAGCACGACCTCTGTGCCCACAACATCGCGCCCTTCCAGTATAACTACGGGATTCGGAACTATCGTTTCCACACCATCTCCCATTGTGACTGTGATTCCAGGTGAGTGCAAGGACAGGGGCCACCCCGACCAGGAGATACTCCTGGGCCAGAGCTAATGGAAGAAAGAGGAGTCGGGGAACCAGGGTTCCAATCCTACTTCCAATGCTGTTATATCCGTGTGATCTTGGACCCAGTCATGGGATTTCTCTGGGTCTCAGTTTCTTTGACAAATGAGCCTATTCCTGGGGGTGGGGAAGGACTCCTGGTAGAAGGGAATCCCAGTGTCATGGGAAAAGCACTGGATGGGTGGTTGGGAGACCTTAGACCTCCCTGGGGTTCGGTTGTCTCCATTTGAACATGGGGCGGGGAGGGGAGGAAGAAAGGGTATGTGTGGAGTAGAGTAGAGGTTATTTACTTGGGGCCCGTGGAAAATCAAGGGGTCTGTGGATAGGTTTCAAAGGGGGATGAACTTGGATGGGAAAAATTTATATCTTCATTTCTGTAGAATTGCCTTCCTTTGATATCTGAGGTATTTCATTTAATGCATTTAAAACTATTGTTTCCTGCCACGGGTCCGTGCCACTAAAAAAGGTTAAGGATCCGTGCATTAAATGAAGGCCCTTCCATCTCTAATCCCTCCATCGTCTGAATTTTCTAAGTTCCCAGGAGTAGAGCGCTGGGAGGCCGGGGAGTTGATGAGGGCTCCTACCAACTTGCCCCAACTTTCAGGGTCTCCCTACCGTCTACAGTTCCCTTCCTCCCAACACTGTGGATGGGTGGAAGGGACCAACCTTTGGGCTCCGGGTACCAGGTTCCAAGGTTGTCTGCAGAGTCAACAGGACGCCGTTTCGGACTTTGTGGGCACCACCTTCTTCAATCTGCTGGAAATTCCCTGCTTTGTGCTGGAGGAGAAGGAGGCCTGTATCCAGTGGCACTGGTGGGGCGGGTAGGTAGCCGAGGCTCAACCTGATGGCACTTTCCAGACTCTTCCCTACTTCCTTCCTAAGTCCTCCTGTCCACCAAGGAAAAGGCCTTGGCTGATAATCCCTCCTCCCCGTAGTGCCTTTTCCCTATTGTGCCTCCTGGGGCTCCTTCCCCTACTCTGCCTTCTCCTCTCTCTCCCATTAGCTGGAGGGCTGGGGATGCCAAGCCCCTGGGTCCTTTTCTGGGGATGGATGGCCAGCGGAAGGGAGCCCTTTGTAGAAGGGGTAAGAGTTTGTGCCTGGAAGTGCATCCTCCCTCTCCAGGCTACACATTTTCCACCGGTGTGACTGCCCCAGTTTCAATTTCCTCACCTGTAAGATGAGGTAATGATAGGCAACCACCCTCTCCCAAATCCTCACAGGATTGTCTTGAGGAGACATTCTTTGAAATCTTAACCTGTAGAGAAATGGGTAGTTCTTATTTCAAGTGCCGTGTGACGTCGGTCAGTAATTTCTCTCTGGGCCTCAGTTTCTTCATCTGGAAAATGAGGGGACTGGATCAGATGTATCTAGGAATCTTCTATTGTATTGTCTGAGGCCCGAGAAGGCCACGAATAAGTGTCAGCCCATCCCTCAGGGCACCAAACCAGAAAGGCAGCCTCCTGACAGCCTCCTCCAGGAGTCCTTCCCAGGTTGGGAGGCTTTGGGGCAGGGGAGGGGAGGAGGAAGGTACAGCCCATCCTCCCCAGCTCCTGGGCCATGATCTGTCTGAGGAGGTGCATAAGATGTCAGAGCTGGGAGGAGCTGCCAGAGAAATGGGAGTCCATAAAATTTAGGATGGAGAACAGAGGATGTCAGAGCTGGGAGGGACCTCGGAACAGGGAATGTCAGAGCTGGGAGGGGCCTCGGAACAGGGAATGTCAGAGCTGGGAGGGGCCTCAGAACAGGGGATGTCAGAGCTGGAGGGGCCTCAGAACAGGGGGTGTCAGAGCTGGAGGGGCCTCAGAACAGGGGATGTCAGAGCTGGGAGGGGCCTCAGA